AGAAATTTGTCGATGAGAGCTCGAAATGTTTCACATGTTCATCGTTGTGCCCTGGTAAAGATAGAGTATATATTTTTGGGAAAACTTCTCACAATTTCGTTGAAATTATAGAATCTACGCTTAACATAGACGTCAACTGCTACGCCAACGACACGAACGCTAGATTGTTTGAGCGGTTGTTAAAGTTTCAGCGAGCAACTGAGAAAGTAGAAGAAGCTAAAAACTGAACTGAAACTCTTTATTCGCACTATTTCAAGAGGTTACTACAGATTATAAAAGTCAGAATATATAAGAAACAGTAAATTACATCAATAATCAAAAGGAAATACAAGACGCCTTTCAATCTAGGCCAAGGGCTAAACGCTTGCTTCGACCTACAGATGGAGATCAGGAGGAAAAAAGCGCGTGCTTGCCGTCAACAAACCGGGCGAAGCTTCGAGAACACTGCAATTTAGGTCGGCCAACGTCTCCTACACTACTTGTACTTCTTCATTTGCCAGTCCGCTGCTAGCTGGAGCGAACCCGATTAGTTATGTTCGTGGCTTCTTATCACCGGTACAGGAAATCGGCCCGAATTATCGAGTGTTTCCGCACGTTGGTACAACGCAACAACAATAACAATAATATGACCACTTTCATCGGTAACATGGTCAAACACGAGCGGGAGTGCTTGATATATTAACGATTTCCCGGATCCTGTAGGCAACTTAACAAAAACATCTTCTTTCTCGACTAAAACTTTTTTAATTGCAAGCTTCTGGTGAGCATTAAGCTCGAAAATTTTGAACTTTGACGACGCTTTGCGAAAAGCTCCTTCAAGCACCACCAAGCATGTGTTTCCACATGAGGATCGTGATAAAAAACGATATCTGATTCGACGAGTCTCAAAAGGTGAGTTTGGCGCGAAAAGGTTCCTGATGATGGAACCCGAGCTGTGATTGGCCAATTCGGAGAAAGGAATGTAGTTCGGTTGTCAGCAGCTGTTCTTTTGGGGGAGCGTTGCGTGACATCCAAACAAAACGGCTGCGAGGGAGACTACTGTTTAATAGGAAAAATTATAAAAGAATAATTAAGAAAAAATTGAAAAGGATAATAAAAGGGAGGAATATATCGTATCAAGTCTCCTTACCTTTTTTCCGTAACTGCTTTGTCGTTTACGGTCCTTTTAATGCTGTTTTGGCGACTTTCTTTGTAACGCGTGTGGTGCTACCGTTCAACTGTGTTAAAACAACTCAAGGCTGGAAACTTCAACCGGTCCCGAACACAAACCGTCGCCACTCGAAGGCCGATAAATTCCACAAAAGTCGACCGATCTCCCTCAAATTTCCACCCGCGAGAGCGCTTAGCTATTACCTACCCGTTTCAGCAGCAAAAGTTTCCAAATTCCGCCGCATCGATCTGAGAGCTGCTCCGTTTTACCACCCATTATGGCCAAATCGCTTTGTACTCGTAATCCTTTTGCCCCTATTACGGGATTCGAATATCACAGCGCATCGGGTCGAATTACACCATGACTCCCCAGACAGTGTTGTTTGACAATAGGGCAAACGTAACAACCTTCCTAACGATCTCTTGGAGACTCTTTTATTTGGTCAGATACGCCTTAATATTTGAATCTCGCAGTAAGGGCGAAAGGATTACGGGCATTATAAATCAATGAGTAACTGAACGTGAGTAATTATATAGCATACAAGTAGATGAATAAAATATTTACAGTACGATGTAATTCAAAAGTGAGCACTAATTACAAACATCAAAGGTGTGAATTAAAACGCTAGAAAAGTGTTAGAATGCTGTAATTGTTTGTTAAGTTCAGGTTTTATATGAAAAGCTTCTTTGAGTTGTTAGCAGAATCCAGAATATTAAAGCAAGAAAGGGAGTATTTGTTCTTACGAGAATGAGATGTGCTGAAATTCTTAAAAATATGCGCTTTCCGTGTGCTCCTTTATCCTAGTAGAGAAGTGGCGGCTAGTTTCGCCAATATAACGGGAGTTACAACCCGCACAAGATAATTGGTAAACTACCATGGATTTTCTCTGTGAGAAATGAATATCTAAGTTGTTGTTGTTGACGCTGTTGTTGTTTTGGTTCAATTAAACAAGATATTGCTTTAAGAATTTTATGGTTAGTGTAGCCCCTTACTTTTCCCTAGTACCTAGCCAATCAGAATTAACGTTTTTACGGTCACAAGCTTAAGCCATGTAATGAGAGCAGTATATCGACCACTTTCAATGTAAATGTTGTATGACTGTTACTTCATTAAACTTTATAAAACCAATCATTACAGGTCCTAAGGAATGTAAGTGCTCATCTAACAACGTCTTGCTAGCTGTAATTGGGGTTCTTGCCTTCATAATCCTTCTTCTAATGATTTACATAATCTGGTTACACAGGAAAGGTAAGTAAAAATTAGGCGGCTTGCCTGCAAGTTTCATTAATTAGAAAAAGGATTTTTTGACCCACATCAACCTCATTTGTCTTTTGCTCTTTTCTTCTTACTCAGGCGCTGTAGGGAAACAAAGGTAAGTATTTGCTTAGATTGTGTCGATGTAAAGCACCAGGCATGGCATCATCTTAAAAAAAGAAGTTCACTTCATTCTGTTTATAAATACTTGTATCTTTTATCAATTGTAGGGAGAATGAAGATGAAAGAGTTGTTTACGACGTAAGTTACATCAAAGAAATTGAGGCCTTGTGTTGCCGGAAATTGTCTTTTCGTTTTACTTCTTCTCTATAGGAAAATAAACACTTGCAATAAATAGAAAAAGAGGAGGGACTTAAAAATACTTACAAACGCATTTTGCACTGGTGGCAGATACAATGAAATAGGGGAAGAAGCTGGACTCGATAGAGTCTTTGCTCTGGAATCAGGTCCTTTACCAAGCCACTCGATAAGTCTGTCCTCGATTTTTCCTGGCTCATTTCATAGATGGCTGACAACTCTGTAGATATTTGCTCTCTAAATAATTATTCTTCGCACTCTTTTTGTCGTCTTATTTTTTCAAAGCCATATTTTCTGAGCAGTGGGAAGGGAGCTGAGTCCGTCAAACATTTTTCCTCCTGTGTATTATTCAAAGAAATGCAAATACAAACAGACGATTCCATGCTGCAATTAGTAGCTTCGGCGAATATGCCACTCCAGTGGACATGATAGTTTTGATGGCAGAGAACAAACTTTAGCCGGGGCTTGATTACAGGGTGGTGAAGTACCCCAGCTAGGTGAGGTAACCTGCCAAACCGTGGTCGAAAAATAGCACGTGTTTACATACAACCTTACAATGCCGTCGGCATTCCGGGTGAGGTTTCTCGAGGCTGTTGTCGCGATTGCAGTTAGGGAGTTTAAAATGTCACTACGGCGATGTGTGGTAAAACGTTGCCGAAAAAACGGAGTTTTTCTTCCCCTCTAAGATTTTTGCTAGTAGCTCGATGCGTCAACCGTTTCTAATTGTACAATGCCGTCACTTCGGTATAACAGGTAAATGTAGTGTTGAGATCAAAGTAAAACGTGACTTAAATGCTGTCGAGGATTCCGTGCTGAGAAGACCAGGCAACCCGCCTAGGTGGGTCACCCCACCTATTATGTAGACGCGATGAAGATAAATTAAGAGATTATATCGACAGGAGAGTTACGTCAACAACCTGGTTTTCCCACCTCCATCTAAAAAGGCCCTAAGTATTCTTTTTGCAATAATAAAAGACAAGAGGATATAAACTGTTTATCTAAATAATGGAAGTGGCGAAAGGTTTTTTATTTTGTAGCCAGGTATGACTTTTTACTGAGATTGATCACAGATTTATCTGTGATTACGTTAACGGGTATGTTGGTTTAATAGACTGCAATAGGATTAAAAGATATCATACCAAGTCAGCTCGATTCAGGAAAACTCGCACAACCTCCTGCAAAATATATGGATCTCAAAGAAGTCAGCAAAGATAAAAGAAAGGCAAAAAGTGCCGCTCCAGGAGCTGATTACGCACCTCTTCATCCATTAACACGCTCTTGGGAAGTTCCAAGACATAACGTGACCGTAGAAAAAATCATTGGTAAAGGTGCTTTTGGTCAGGTTGCCAAGGGAACAGCAGTGGGACTTCGTGGGAGGCCGGAAACGACCACAGTGGCTATTAAGATGCTTAAATGTGAGCTGTTGTATTGTAAATTGAATGAGCGTCTTGGCCTACAGTCATTCAGGAAATGTTGCCGTGTTACCGAAATTTTTTAGCTATTTGCTATTTCATAACTTATGTTATCATTTCGGCTTTTTGCATATTATTCCCATTAACCAAAATTATCTCCTTGTTTTTAACGCTCTAGCTAACGCTGCTGAATCAGAAAAGGGAGATTTGATAAAAGAACTTGAAACAATGAAGCAGTTGAAACCACATCCTTACGTCGTTAAACTTCTCGGTTGTGTTACGGAGTCTGGTATGCTTTGGTTATCCGGGTCTAATTTTTCTGTACACAATTTCCTGTTGATTTACTGTGCAACACTGTCTCGTTTTTTTTTTTTAAGTCAATATAGACGCTCCTGGAATTAATGATTGTCTAAGATCGAATATTTGCCAACGAATTGACCATGCTGCTGTATAAGCAGAAATGCGTTTTATAGGGAAATAGGGAAAGTTTTAGTTTTATAGTTTTATTAGTTTTTTAGTTCTTTTAGTTTTTTAGTTTTATAGTTTTATAGGGAAAAGTCTTCCGGCTTTTCTTTTTAAAACTACATCTTGTTTTTTAAGGTGAGTTCATAATTATTGACAATGACTAGATTATTTATTTTATTTCTTTTGTTATTCAGTTTTTTTAGAGAATAGTTTATCATATTGTTTGTTTAATCTCTTCAGAGCCTCTGCTGGTTTTGATTGAATATGTGCCTTTTGGGGATCTGCTGGGTTACCTAAGAAAGAGCCGCGGATTAAAAGACACATACTACAAAGATCCAAATATCAAACCACAAACAAATCTCACGTCACAGCAGCTAATGAAGTTTGCCTGGCAAATCGCAGATGGAATGAGTTATTTGTCCTCAGAATCTGTATGTTAATTAAAAACACAAAGGAAAAAAAACTTAATTCTGAATCATTTTTTGCAAGGTGTATCGCGAAGTTAAGCTCTGTCCTTTATAGAATGTTATGTCTTTACAAAATCACGGCCGGATAATGCAAAATTATTGTGACCTTCTTGTAAAAGCTTTAATTTGCTTTAAGGGAACCCTCCCAATTTTAACGCTATCATCTTAGTTTTATTCCAACGTGCAAATGACGATATTTTTGCATCGTTCCCAGAACACCCTATCAAATTGAAATATCTGGTTTTCTTTTGTGTAGGCAAAGGCAGAGACGAGAATAGAAAGGATCTTTCAAGATATTCAGCCTAAACTGAGTGCACAACAAATATCAATTTTAGTGTCAAGGAATAAAAGGAATCAAGACTTGACATTTCCAAAATTTCTTGTTGATCGCAAAAACTGCCATATTACAGAATTTTATTTCCATTAAAATCTTAATTTGAGTATTCAATGAAATACGTACACCATATTGAATTCGCTAGGAATTTCTTTTTTTCCTGTCTGAACCGTTTCAGCTCAGTTCTTTTCTTCTGCATTCGCTAATTTTTGCTGAAGCATCAATTCTTTCTTAGATCATCCATCGAGACCTCGCAGCGCGTAATGTGTTGGTTGGACAAAAGGAAACGTGCAAAGTAACAGACTTTGGAATGGCCAGAGATGTGCATGAGGAAAATATTTATGAACGAAAGACTAAGGTAATCTAGAAGGAGAGGAGATGGGGGCGGTACTACTCATTTACATATCGTTCCATCTTATGATCCTTCATAATGATTGTTGTGGTATAGCTGATATATTCCCGGTTTTGATCACGCGGTCCTTGGATGAGACCCTTAAGAAAAGTAACGTGCAAAGTAACAAACTTTGGAATGGCCAGAGATGTGCATGAGGAAAATATTTATGAACGAAAGACTAAGGTAATTTAGAAGGAGAGGAGATGGGGGCGGTACTACTCATTTACATATCGTTCCATCTTATGATCCTTCATAATCATTGTTGTGGTATAGCTGATATATTCCCGGTTTTGATCACGCGGTCCTTGGATGGGACCCTTAAGAAAACTTATACAAGTGTAACTTGAAATAAAACTGTCTTTGGCTAGTTGCTTCCTTTACTTTTTGAACTAGTCACAAAGTGATATTTGAAATATTTAGGGCCGTCTTCCCGTGAAGTGGACTGCTTATGAGGCCTTGTTGTACGGAAAGTATACCACCAAAAGTGATGTGTAAGTATAAGTGATAATTACCCAGCATGCTTATGCTTTGTGAAAGAATATATCTTCGTTGTCGTATATACCGTCAATGTCTTCATTCACTTAATTCATATTCGTTTGATTTGTCTTTCCGCAGATGGAGTTATCGAGTTGTGCTTTACGAGATTTTCACCATAGGTATT